CAATATCTGTTGCTTCCGATCGCTGGTCTCTTTAGAAGCTGTGAGTTCAAGGCATTTAGCTGGAAATGAAACAACTTTTGTTGTAAAACGCGGTAATATCAAACAAAAGCTGGCTGAAAACGGTGGGTTAAGTACGGCACGCCTTTCTATCGTTTAGGTTTTGTCCCCGAAGCAAGCGGCACTAGGCGGCGGGCTGTGGTAACAATACATTGGTCGCTCCCGCATCCTGTAGTCCTCTGCAGCTCGTTTATTATTTAGCGGCCGGAGGATCTCCGATAATGTGCAGTTCCAGACCGCGAAGAGTGCATCCGCTCTACTGTAGCCGAGGGTCTTTCCCCTGGCGGGGAATGTCCAGGCGTTGTTATTTACTGCCGCGCTGTCTCTCCTTTACGTAATTCTGTAAGCAGTTCCTCCAGTGACACTGCTCCACTGCAAAGGCAAATGTCTAAGTGATTTCCTAATATCCAGACTTCGGTCTTCCTCAGCATAGTTCAGGGACTGTAGGCGATTTACAAGTAGGGAACGGCCCAACTGTGTAAGTCACTGGCTATTTAACAGAATTATCTGCCTATCTCACAAATGAAGTGTGAATCCAAGGCGGTGATTGAGTGCTTGCCTTCTGGGATGTAGATAAGTGTCAACGTTTCGAATGGATCTTCTATATCATTATTCACGGCAGACGATGGAATGAGTAGTTCCTCTGAAACTTCTGTGCCTATCTACAAGATCACTAGGCACCACCGTCCCAGAAGCGAGTTATCTGCTTGCCTAAATGTGCCCGTCTACCCATTCAACCATACACCGCCCTATCTAACCACTCAACTACTCAGAAACTAAAAAATGAAACAACCCCATAATGATCTCCGTCTCTTAGCACTTAACTTTATATGTGAATTTGGTACAGAGGGTCTTCCTTGTGCAGCTGATAGTTGGTCATCTGGATGTGGCTTTGCTTTCGTGAAATCTAAAAGCATACTATCGTATTCATCTAAATTCGCCACTGTACCCTACTTTTAGCCAGCTGAATGCACTCTACACCTTCAAGCACACTTTTGCAACATCTCCCTGAATGTTTTATTCACAAATGTCTCTAAAAGACTTCTTGGAGTTTGCTGACAGAATGTTTGTATGTATTTGCCGTATATTTCGTATATTCGGCCGTCTTCCGTTACGTTACTCAAAGTGTTAAGAGAACAGTGCAAATTATGAAGGACATTTACATTTTTAACGTTTCAGTCAACAGAGGAAAAGTTCAAGATCCACGAAGAAATCAGAAGACGGAGAATTGCTATGATCAAATACCAACCTGCTCGAATGTTGCAAGTTCGCTAAATGGGAGAATTAGTATTATAAATTTGGCGCGTAACAATATTTTCTCTGCGCAAGCTGAGGTTCAGTAAAATGTCTCACGGAAATTTCATGAAGTTACTTTAAAAGAGAATCACTGTCGCTGTAAATAGGCGTATGTAGGCCTACGGTTCTTTTTCTTTGATGGGAAATGAGCTTCAGTTATAACTAACATTTTAAAAATTCACTTATTGGGGGTGGAGTCCAGCTGGGACCACTCGGCACGACGGCCACTGATTGGCCTATTGTACCTGCCCTGGGTGATTATGATGGAGAATTTGGTGGAATGAAGACTGGCAGGGGAAACCGAATTACTCGGAGAAAACCCGCCCCAGCGCCACTTTATCCACCACAAATCCCACTAGACCGAACCCGGGCCGCCGCGGTGGGAAGCCAGCGACAAACCGCTTGAGCTATGGCACGGCCTCAGTTATAAGTAACTCAACTTTCACATTTACATGCGTTCACACAGCTTTACTCTTTTCAAATTAAATTCGAACTCTTGCGTTTGCTTTCAGTCAGAGCATACATACATAGTAGCTGAGAAGGCGTCAGATATTTTAAACGCTGCAAAACGGTCGTCAGATTCAGCAGGCAAATATTCGGGTAAGCCCCAAAACAGGCTACGACCACTTCCTTCTACATCGTTATTGTTTCTTCATTTCCAGTAATTTCCACATTAACGCTAGTAACATACACTAATTAGGAATAGAGTTTGTGTTGGCTGCAGTGAAAGAATTTCAGGTGGCAACATTGAAAGTTCTTCCGTTTGTTTACAATCTGTAGTGCTCGTGTAAGTGTATTACTGATTGTGTTGACTGACAGTTCGTGTGAAAGGATTCCAAAATGTGATAATTGTCCGATCGTTGGTGCGTGTTTGGCTGGCGCATTGTGACAACATTGCCACATTATTAAGTGCATCGAGGGCGAGAGTTTTTAAGGTTATGGCGGCATATACGAATCATTGGAAGACAACAAAAGCGAAGAGGAACAACTGGCGAAATTCAACACTGACAGAAAGAGATCGTTTATACGCTGAGAAAGATTATTTAGAAAAATCACAAAAGTACTGCAGTACAGGTGACAGCAGAACTCAATATATGTATTCATCTTGAAGATCCCGTTTCCAGAAAAACTGTCCGCTGTGAGCTTCACAAATCCAACATCCGCGGCGGAGGTAGGGCTGCAATGGCTAAACCTCTGATTACTGAAAGTAATGCTCAGATGCGTAAACGATGCAGTCACGGCCAAAAAAACGTGGACATCAGACAACCTGAAATGTGCGCGTGATATGGTCAGATGAGTCGACCTTCACGCCGTTCCCTACACCAGGAAGAGTTACTTGTAGCATCTGGAGAACGCCCAAGGAAGCCTGCAATTCGGAACTGCTGGTTCCAACAGTGAAACAGGGGGAGGACTTAGCATCTGGAGAACGCCCAAGGAAGGCTGCAATTCGGAACTGCTGGTTCCAACAGTGAAACAGGGGGAGGTTTTATGGTGATTTGGGCAGCAATGTCGCGGTACATTATTCCGTTGGTCCCATTACTACCCTTCGTGGCCGAATTGCTGCAAGGGAGACAGGTTGCGTAATCAGGTGCACCCCATGATGCAGACATTATTTCCGAACAGCGAAGGAGTTTTCCAACACAACAATGCTCCTATTCACAGAGCTGACACTGATTAGTCATGGTTTGAAGAGCATGTAGGTGAGCTTCAGCATTTTCCTTGGCTAGCACAATCACCAGATCTGAACATCATTAAACCACTCTAGTCAGTTTTGGAGTCTGGGGTGAGGAACAGGTTCCCACCTCCAACTTCTCTACAGCAACATGAAGCTGTTCCTTAAGAAGAGTGGTACAAAATTCCGCTAGAGACTGTTCGAAACTTGTACGATTCCATTCCAAGGACTGCGGCTGTACTGAAGGCAAAAGGTGGCCCAACACCACATTAATAAAGAAACGTGTACAGTATCTGTAGTATTTCCAGTATTTTGTCCAACACCTGTGTATCCTAAGCGGGCAGTATTTGCCATATTAATTACTAAGGTCTGCTGTAATCGTGCGCACTGGACACTCCAAAATACAGTGAACGGGATGTCGTCATCGTGAGCAAAGATAACAGTAAAACTGTGTTCTTATTACCGACAAGTTGTTCTTCCACATTTGCCTTGCATTAAATCGAAGCTCATTACTGCATGAAATCCATAAATAAAGTATAATCAGTAGACCTTTCACCGGCTCTTAAAGATTCCAGGACTGTACACATTCCCGTACAGGCCGCAAATGCCTGCCTGTCGCACATAGCACGTCTTATTCTTACATCGGTATTGGATATTTTGGGTTATTTGTGCTCTCTGTTCAATTTCGTAACGACAGAGAATCATGAAATGAAGGATTCTCAGTCATTTTCTCGCTGTAGACAAGTTACTATCTTTGAAAAGTATTCCAGTCTTTTGTAAGAATTTGAAGATAACGTGTTGTCATTGAGTAACAACAGAATATGCTAAACACTTACACTGGGAAAACTGCAGATAGAATTATTATTCACGTTTCGATTTTCGAAGGGAACTTGTTCGTTAGTTCTACACACTTGTCACAACATCGCAGAAACCTGAACTGGAACCCCGAGCAGTTCTGTGTAGGGGAGGCGCTCTGTACCGATAACAATACCACAGAGGAATGAAAATTTACAAATAGTCAGTACAGTAGCGTAGGCTTTTATACGTACTTCTCATGTGTTGGCTTTAGAAGTCGGGTAAAGCCGTATAAAGATACAACCATTATCCTGCTCCTTATGTTATGCTATGCACTCGCTTGTGCTCCGTGCTATATCGAGTCACAATCTAGTTTCTTGGGGTGGGGTGAGACTGAGTCAACTTGGTACTGCAGCAACTACTGGCCTACTGTAAAAGCCCCGGACGACAGATGATGAGTGTGGAGCAGTAGGTGGAATGAGAACTAGTAAGGGAAACTTAAATACTCGGAGAAAACCTGCCACAGTGCCACTTTGTTCACCATAAATCCCACACGACCTGACCTGTGCTCGAACCCAGGCCGCCGAGATGGGAAGCGTCTGAGCTATGGCACGGCCTAGAGTCCTATTCTAACTTCGACCTCATGCAACTAATGGAATTCGTCCTGGTTTTATGCTTACAAGCTCCATATTAAATTGATGCCTAAACAAATTGTTCTACGTGTATACCTATACCGGTGGGAACAGCAGTTTTTTATTGCTTGTGGGGTGGGACTAAGTCGCTTGTACTGCGGCCACTTCTGGCCTATTTTACCAGCCCCAGATGATAGGTGAGGGTGATTGTGGAGCAATTGGTGGAATGAAGATTGGCAGAGGAAACATAAGTATTCGGAGAAAACCTGCCCCAGCGCCACTTTGTCCACGACAAATCTCACTTGACCAGACCCGGGCCGCCGCGGTGGGAAGCCAGCGACTAACCGCTTGAGCTATGGCGCGTCCAAAACAGCAGTTTGATGTGGACACAAAATATATGAATGTGATGAGGTGCTTGCATGGGCAATTTCAGCTGATACTCGTGAAGGTGCAAAGGATAATAGGAAGTCTGTATGAGGAGTCAAGCCACTGTGTTACGAACTCAGTGTATGTGGGCACGGTAAGCAGAGTGCTGTCTCACAACTTACCCATTAAATGGATATCCAGCGAAGGCAGCGGCGTCGTAAGGGTGATAGACGGACGGGTATGGCCACGTTGCAGCGCCCGTCGCCAAATTTTCCTTCAGCTCGAGTCCTGCCGCCTGTAAACAAGCCCAAAGAATAAGTCTCTAAACAAATCGCAAACAATTCCCCAAAACAGCCATTAGAAACTAACCACAAAATCTCTGCATTCACTAAAACATTCAAGAAAACCTCTCAACAAATTGTAGGCCTAGAAGTCGCAGAAAGAAGTTTGAAGAAACGCGAAGTTCAAAAAAAAATCAGAAATAAACAACAGATTACAAAAAGTCTCAAAGAAAACAAACAACAAAACAAGTGCAAATATGATATGTATCTTGTTTAACGACAGATGTGCAGCACAGCTAAACAGTCGAAACTCGCCATCTTTTTAAGTTTTCAGTCGGACATCCTGCCATTTTATGAGCTTCAGAAATGGCTTGTTCCGTCCTCAATAAACTCTTATTTTGTCAATTCATTTGTTTACATACATCCCAAAATTCTTACAGCTCGTGAGCAGAAATGGAGATGGCTATGGCTCTTCAGAACCAGATCAAGAAGATCCCGCGAATGATCACTGGGCCTGTGTGCTATAAAGGAAATTATTACACTGGAGGATCAGGAATTCGTTCCTATATATCTCCGTCAGGAATGTGAGTTACTTCTTAAGGCACGTAAATTCCTTCTTTAAAAGGCATTCTGAAACGAAGTAGATGGCGTCTGCTGGCAATTCCAACCCCGCCCGTGAACCACGGTTCTCTAATTTTATACTAAACGGTGGAGTCTTGACTTCAGGCCCTAAATTGTAAGGATGGTGGGGTCCTTGCGATTTGGCGTAATTAAAATACTATTAAATGGAGCCCTCCTTTGGCTTCTCCTGCTAGAATTACAACGTGCCTACCTTCCGGCCGAGTCAGCGTCTGCCGATGACAGGCTAGCGACGTGTAAAAAGAATCACGTGACATGTTTTGCGTTTTTATGTCACAGAGGATCAGTTTCAGGGCCAAGCGCAATAACGGCCCTGCTGTTAGGGCCTACACGCAACATACCAATAAGACTGGTCGGTACCGGTGTACCGTATTCTTCTTCCATCCTTCAAATATACGTGTAGATGAGCCAACCTGTCTCACCCATGGAGCTGAGCCGTTATTGAGAAGCCGCCAACTCTGCAGCTACTCAAGAATTTCCCAGCATTTTACGGAACCCGAAGGTTCATTTCCGTGTCACAAGAGCCCTCCACTGGTCCCTATCCTGAGCCAGATCCATCCAGTCCATACCACCCCATTCTATCTCTCTGAGATCCATTTTAATACTGTCCACCCACCTAAGCCTTGGTCTTCCCAGTGGTCTCTTTCCTTCTGGCTTTCCCACCAATATCCTACACGCATTCCTCCTTTTCCATTCGTGCTACATGCCCTGCCCACCTCATCCTCCTTGACCTGAGCATTCTAATTATACTTGGAGAAGATACAAGTTATGAAGCTCCTGATTATGCAGTTGTCTCCATCCTCCCGCCACGTCATCTCTCTTCGGTCCAACCTGTCTCACACACCACAAAATCATTTAAAATCAGAGAAGACTTTCTGAAAGAACAAACTGTTCCAGGTCTTGCCACAAAGGGGTACACATTAAATCCAACCACCAAACTGATAATTGTACTTTCCTTACGTAATTAATCATTTTGTTGTTAGGGCCTCTCTGTATACAGACCTGTCATTCTGAACATCAGTTATAGGGTTTCTTTTTCATCAACGTCTTTCAAATTATATGTCAAAATGATCTCGGGTCAGAACAAAGTATAGGCCTAACTTATGTGTCGTCACCAGAATGCAAGATAAACTCATAATGTAGTAATAACAAATCTTTCGAATGCGAAACAAAGATCAATATTCTGAAACAGAATAAAGAGGTTCAATTCGAGGAATTCTTTCGTTGAGAATCTTTTGCCTTCCCGTCTGCTATCTGAGAAACTAAAAATTAAAATATGCAAAACTATAATTTGCCTCGTATTCTCTGTGAATGTGAAATTTTGTCATCAGCACACACTGATGAGAATGTTTGGACCTGAAAAGAGGGAATAACAAGAGTCCAGAGAAAATTCCGTAGAGAGGAACTTTACGATTTGTACGCTCCATCGTACATTATTAGAGTGATCATATAAAGCATGGGATGGGTGGTGCATGTACAGGGAGGTTCTTACCTCTGTTGACCGGTTCACGGCTCTGAGCTTCACGGCGATGGGTACACCGCCGGCTGAGAGGCGCATATGAATTTTGCCCATGAATCTATTTGCCTGTTTGTCGGTAACTTTCGGGATGAAGTAGTTACAATTCATAGATCACAGGAGGTGTTGAAAATGATGCCCCTCTCAACTGCGGATAAATTTCACCTTCGACGACAGACTGTAGAAACCTACTGCAAAAATGAACCCTTCTAGCTGGATCGCGAATTACTGTAGTTTTATAGGGTCTAAGCTTCAGCAAATGTGTTGCTGTTCCTGCACTATGCTCTGACACTCCAGTCTCTTGAGCTAGACGTTTCAGTGATTCTGTACGTGTATGTACAAGTCTGGCCCCTGTGTCATCTAACTGCTCAGTAAGCGCTCGGCGCTTATGCTTTTGTTTCTTGTCTATTAAGGGTCCCGCTGCTCTAAGTTTATTCACCAAATTTTGAATTTCTTGTCTGCTGGGAAGTCTTTCATCACGAAATTTACGTCGAAATTTTCTCTGACACTATCCAGCAGATCCGTATTCCACGTAGGCGTCATACAGATATCCACATTTCCATGAAGTGTAGTACCTCGCCATGACGGGACACACTGCTCGCTAATTGTAACAGAGAACAAGCGGCTAATTGAGCTGGTAACTTCCGCCCACTGCTGACAAATCATAAATTCCCATGCACGAACCACAGCGCTCGCCATGAAACATTAATTGCGTCAAGAGATCCACAAAATTAATATCTTCCCTTGATTCCAGGTATTACAGACTGTCAGGCATGTTGATTCATTGGCAAAATTCGTACGCGCCTCGCTGCAGGCGGTTCACCGGTCCTGAAGCTGTCAACAAAAGTAAGAACCTTCCTACAGTCTACATGATGGAACTGAAAAATACGCAGACCCTACAACATTATAAAACCGGAAGAAGAAATATTTTTGCAGATGTAATATTATTAAATTATTTCTTAGAGAAACGGGATATAAATGTCTTGGCGTATCGGACCGAGCTTCGGGCCGTGTGAGCATGGCAATGAACCTGTTTCCATAAGGGAGCCATTGGCTTCTTAAGAAGGAATGTGGTATACGGCATTCGTTACATACCCAGAACTATAGTTGCACCTATTGTTTTGTGCTGGCTCGAAATTTGGTCTGTGAATGTGATCGAAACAGGATCCTAAGTAACATGCTAAGACAGAAGCACAAACGGATTAGAGAAAATTCTACACGGGGGATATGGATGAAATAGGCAGGAAATCTGTTGCACTTGGGATAGGTGCTGAATTAATATAAAATTTGTACTGGAAACCCTGAAAGGAAGAGTCTGTTTGGGTGACGTGTAGTGGGTGTGTGCGTGAGTTATAGACGGGTTTTAAAATTTGACCATTGAATTTATTGTCACCTGATCTAATCAAGTGGAGGAACTGTTTTGGAAGAGACTGCGGACCTGTCGTCTGACAGATTACTGATGAATGAATACACTGAACTCGTAACTACAAGTGATACATTAATATTGCTGATATACACACTTCACAGTTCACTGTTACACACGCACTAGTGTCCTCGGTCTTCATTAGTCGTAACCCGGTAACGGAGTCATAACAGTTTTCCTGTCACTGCAGCACACATGAAGTCTTCTTTGCACTCTATAATTCCTGTTTTGCCATTATTCTCAACCACCTTCGAATGCATACTCTCTCAGTTCTCCGTTGCAGCTGCCAACTCCGGAACTCGACTCAGTTCTTCTCAACTGTACTCTTTCGTTATAACCGCTTTGCACGGATCGAACAGAAAACACCGTTTCTAACCAGCCCTGTTGTTATTTGTTTACAAATGGGTTCCTCTATTGTTGCATACGTATTCTTTGGCGCTGGAATGTCTGCCGATCCGTTCCTTAGAGACGGGGTGCATAGCACCTTTGTTTATTCGCCTATTGCATATATTGTATATGCTACGATAATTACCTGGATAGGTAATGCTGAAGGATATATAGGCGTGCACGGTTTCTGTGGGAAGAGTTATTGAACTTCGGGATTCACATAGCAGGGATTTATTTACCATCTGCATAACATAATCTTCCCTGTGATTCTGTATGGTTGTGAAACTCGGTCTCTGACATTAAGGGAGGAACATGGACCGAGGGTGTTTGAGAACAGGGTGGTGAGAATATTTGGACCGAAGAGAGATGAAGTTACAGGAGGTTGGAGAAAACTGCATAATGAGGAGCTTCATAACTTGTACTATTCTCCAAAATTAATGATCAAATCAAGGAGGATGCTTTGGGCAGGGTATGCAGCACGAGAGAAATGCATGTAAGATATTGGTGGGAAAGCCAGAAGGAAAGAGATCACTAGTAAGACCAAGAAGTAGGTATGTGGACAATATTAAAATCGATCTTCGAGAGATAGGATGGGATGGTATGGATTTGATTGATTTGGTTCAGGATAGGGATTAGTGGAGGGCTCTTGTGAACACGGTAATGAACCTTCGGGTTCCATAAAATGCTGGAAAGTTCTTGAGTAGCTGCGCAATTGGCGGCTTCTCAAGAAGGGTTCAGCTCCATAAGTGGTAATACGTACCAAAAAGGACGGCCCGGGTGTTATTTGTGAATACCGTCTTTTTTCAGATTCTGTTTTGACAGCTGTGGTTTATGAGTACATTCTTTTTTTCTTCTGTCAGTGGCGTATTGAGCCCATGTGTTTTGAAAGAACAATGAATGTACTGGTTATATGTATGGATATCAGCGATAAATATTGTAACATTATGTACGCTTAATTGAGTTTCTTCGAATGATTGTTCGTACTAGAATAACATTGCTTTCAACAGCAACGGAACAGGAAATGAACACTGTTCGGTATGTTAATCTTT